ATGATTTAAAATCTGGCTGTTCAGACCAGGTCATAACTCCAGTTGTCTGCGCATGCACCTCTGCCACTAGCTTGCCACTATTACACATTACTAACTTTGTGTCTCCTTTCTCCCGTAGTGTGTCCTCTCTCTCTCTCCCTGTACCTTTCTGCAGGTTGCCCTGGCCCTGGAGCTCTATGTCTCTGACGAGCAGTCACCAGCCACATCGACCTGATCAGTGTTTGATTGTTGTGTCTTGTTGCTTTTCTTCTTTTGTCTCTCCTCTATCCACTCACCCCAACCGGTCGAGGCAGAAGGCCGCCCACCAAGAGCCGGGGTCTGTCGGAGGTTTCTTCCGTTAAAGGGAGTTTTTCCTCCCCACTGTCGCCAAGTGCTTGCTCAAGGGGGATTTGTTGGGTTTTCCCTATGTAATAATATTGATAACAGTAAGGTCTAGACCTTACTTTGTAAAGTGTCCTGAGATGACTTTTGTTGTGATTTGGCGCTATACAAATAAAATTTGATTTGATTTGATCATGGCTGGATACAAAGAGAGCATCCCAGAGAGGCTGTGTGTTTTGGCAGTAAGGACAGGATGAGGCTCATCACTCTGTGGGGGAAATAGTCAATTTATAAATAATGTTTGTCACTGTAGGACTGCAAAGAGAGCATGGTGGCACGGTGGGTAGCGTCGTTGTCTCACAGCAAGAAGGTTCCGGGTTTGCGACCTTTCTGTGCGGAGTTTGCATGTTCTCCCTGTGCTTGTGTGGGTTCTCTCTGGGTACTGCGGCTTCTTCACACTGTCCAAAGACATGCAGCTTAAGTTGATTGGTGACTCTAAATTTTGTGTGTGTGTGTGTGTGTGTGTGTTGGCCCTGCGATGGACCGGTGACCTGTACAGGGTGTACCCCGCCTTTTGCCAGATGCCGGCTGAGATTGGCTCCAGCCCCACCGCAACCCCGTTCGGGACTAAGCGGTAAAGAAAATGAGATGAGATGAGATTGCAAAAAGTTTGGGGTTGTCATCATCTACTGTACATAACACCAGTAAAAGATTCAGAGAATCTAGATAGATCTCTGTAAACAACTGACAAGGCTGAAAACCAGCAGTGAAGGGCCATGATCTTCTGGCCCACAGGAGACACTGCATTAAACACAGACATGAATCTGTAGTGAAATCATTGCATGGGCCCAGGGACACTAATAGAAACCACTGTCAATGAACACGGGTCATCACTGCAGCCATACATGCAAGTTCCACCTCTACCATGCAAAGAAACCACCATATATAAACAAGATCCAGACAGGCCACCACCTTCTCTGGGCTCTAGCTCATATAAGGGGACTGAGGTGAAGTGGAAACTGTTCTGTGGTCCTATGAGCCAATGTGGGAAATTTTTTTTGGAAATCATGGATGCTGTGTTCTCCGGGCTAAAGAGGAGAGGGACCAGTTCCCAAACGCTTATGGAGTGTTCTTAAAACAAGAGCTGATGCAGCACTGTGGCAAATATGCCTGTCCTAACTGTTCTGAAATGTGTTGCTGGCTGATTCCATCCATCCATTATCTACACAGCTTATCTTAACAAGGGCCGCGGCCAATCTGACACAGGGCGAGAGGCAGAATCCACTCTGAACAGGTCGCCAGTCTGTCACAGGGCTGACATGTAGACAAACAACCACACACACTCCTACAGACAGTAGTCATCAGTCAACCTAAGCTGCATGTCTTTGGACTGTGGGAGGAAGCCAGAGCACCCAAAGAGAACCCACACAGGGAGAACATGCAGACTCCACTCAGACAGGTCCTGGGTCGGCCGGGGTTCAAACCTGGAACCCTTTTGTTGTGAGGCAACAGCGCTAACCACCATTCACCATTCTACTGTGCCATTGCTGGCATATTTAAAATAAATAAATACATAAAATGTATATGTTGTCTGTACTATTTTCAGTTAAACATTTAAGCATATTTCCACAGTGTTCCACGCCTTTTGGAATTTGGGTTGAATAAATGGCAGGGCTGAATCACAGAGCAGAGCAGGTGACGTTAATATGGCCACAGCTACCCATCACACAGAAATCCAAGTTTCCATATTATCTGTTTGAAATTTGCTGCCTTGTTTGAAATGTGTCAGTTTGAATATGAAATCAGCATGTCTGTGTTTCAGCCTGTCACATCAGCAGGACCAGTGTGTCTGTGTGTCTGCTGCTGATCTGGGCCATAGCTGGATTGTGGTCTGGAGCCCCGCTGCTCGGCTGGGGGAGCTACACAGGCATGAGAACAGTGCAATAACATTGGGTTTCAAACTTTGCTTTTACTTCTAACCTCTGACCTCTCTGTGGCCCCCCTTTGCAGATCGCGGATATGGAACCTGTGAAATCGACTGGGCCAAAGCGAACTACTCAAGCGTCTACAAGTCCTACATCATCTCTATCTTAATCTGCTGCTTCTTCCTCCCTGTGCTCACCATGCTCTTCTGCTACGTGTCTATCATCAACACAGTGAAGAGAGGCAACACTCTGTCAGCAGAGGGAGACCCGACTGACCGCCAGAGGAAGCTCGAGAGAGACGTCACCATTGTGAGTTTGACCAGTCCCCTGAGTGCTGATGGGGCCAAGTCAACACTTACCATAAAAAAACCACCTATGACCTCAGCAGATGAGGTCATACTCAGCATGCTATTGGTAGAATAATCAGGCGTCATTTTTCCTTCAGGTTTCCATAGTGATCTGCATGGCCTTCATCCTGGCCTGGTCTCCATATGCCGTCGTGTCCATGTGGTCTGCCTGGGGCTTCCATGTGCCTAACTTCACCAGCATCTTCACCCGCCTCTTCGCCAAGTCTGCCAGTTTCTACAACCCCCTCATCTACTTCGGACTCAGCTCCAAGTTCCGTAAAGACGTGGCCGTCTTGCTTCCCTGCTCCAGTAATGTCAAAGACACTGTCAAGCTGAAGCACTTTAAGCAGAAGGCCGACGCCCACGGCCGCCTTGGTATAGGAGGTGGAACCAGACTTAAAGTCCCTCTAAAACAGGCTGAGAAGCCCAACCCGACCCCCAGCCTAGACCATAGGATGGGAAGCCCACCATCTACGCCCCGGCCTGTCAACAAGGAGGTGTTCTACATTGACACGTCCCGCCCCTCTGAGACTGGCCCTGAGTTTGAGTGTGAGAGACTCTAATGGATTCACCAGACCGGAAAGAAGACCAGCTGCTGGTCTCTGATGGAGCAACATGAACACATGACTGATGGACAGAGGGTGCTGGTGTCCAAAGTAGAGAAGGAGACATCACCTAGTTCTTGTACATGTAGAATAAGTTTCTGTCAGGGTCTCTGCACGTTCACCAGGTTAAGTTTAAAACTGTTCAAAACCACATAGAACATAATTTAATACTGTTTCACAGTTGTATTGTGCACAGTGTAAAAGTATGACTGAGACCCTGTGGGGACGATAATAAGAGTTTATTATATAAGACATACAAGGGTGGAAATTGTAAAATAACAGAGCCATGGTGTCCAGGACGGTTTACTTGACCATATTTAATTTGACAACTTTGAGGTGATGGTGAGCAGCCCTGCTGACTGGCTCTGTTTCTCAGGCTCTCGCTTTTCCCAGATGTTCAACAGTATGAAGATTCTCCTGCTGCTCTCATGACATATAATAAAAGTGATGAGAACTACAGCTTCTGTCTCTCACTCTCTCTTCCCAAAACAACCTGTGAGCTATTGCATGATCAATAACAATCACCATATCTTCATGACAATTTAGTCCCAATATCAGCACTAAGTGACTTTAGAAAACATTTTCACTCAGAAGAAGAACTGCAGACTCTGTCCTTCACAGCTTCTGTTAGAAGCAGCATAAGTAGGGAAGGGTCAGGGTCACCTGATCCACCCTAACTATAAGCTTTATCAAAAAGGGACGTCTTAAGTCTAATCTTAAAGGTAGAGAGGGTGTCTGCCTCCTGAACTGAGACTGGGGGTTGTCTACCTTACTATGTAAAGTGCCCTGAGATTACTTTTGTTGTGATTTGACGCTAGACATATAAAAGTGGATTTGAGTAGTTATCAAATCAAATTGATCTATATAGCACTTTAAAAACAACATCCAGCTGACCAACGTACTTTACATGGCAGAATAAAATCACAATAAATGACTAAAATAGAGTAAATAAGATCAGTGCAAATAAAAATAATGTATATATTTATTATTATTTCTAAACATTAATTTATTTATTTAAGTTATTTTGATGATAAATCTCGCTGTTTCCAAAACATTGACCCGAAGCAGTCACGTGAGCCTCTACAGTTTTGACCACTCACAGTCGCAACGATTCTATTTTCATGGTTCTGATTGGCTGAGCTTCTCTTCGCCTGTGCTTGACTGAGGAGCCGACAGAAGCCGAGAATCTCCGAGGAGCCGACAGGAGCCGACAGGTACCCTCCTCCTCTCCCTGCATCCGTTCCCGGTGAGAGCACCAGAGGATGAGCTTGCTTCCCACACCTCTGTGACGGAGGAGCCTCAGCAGAACGAATCGAACGCCGAAGCAGAGTCTTCCTCAGCCAGCGGTGAGTCTTGTCGATCTGGTATCGGCTCTTATCGGTTTGTAACTGACCTATTATCGACGGCTCAGCTGTGATGGATCCGCGGGCCGTGACTGTCTGCGTCTTCATTCATACTAAAACCGTGACCCATCCGTCATCAGGTCCCGGTGGACCGACCGTACAAATCCTGATGGACACGTATCCATTGATCAGCTTATTGATAGGTCGATCAAGTGTCAGCATGTGTGAACAGGCCTGAACACGCGCGCGGCACCATCACACAGGTATGACTGGGTGACGTAATGCATCCATATAGTGCATATATGTGTTTCAGTTTTGGTTTGTGCGGATGGATTTTAGCTGGGTACCGTCACTGTGACGACATGTACTGTAATGATGTAATGCAGTAGCCACAATGACATGCCAGACCACCACTGCACATCCTGTTGACACCTGTTGTTGCAGCCAGATTATTACACTGGCTGAAGTGAATGTGTGAACAGTCACGTGTGTTTGTCAAAGTGAGCTGTGATAAACTGAGCTGTACTAACTTTTTACATCACTGGCAGTACACTAAAGATGTTACCACTGTCCTCTCTGAGGCTCCCCAGTGAATGAAACAGCTGCTGGACCAGCTGATCCAGGATCTGTTTGTTCTGACAGCACAGCACTGGATCCAGATCAGCCTGGAAGCATCAGCAACATGTTGAGATGAGATTCCACTGTGTAGTGAGGCTGTGTTGTAGCCCCCACCCATCTCCTAGCAACAGTAGCCATGGTACTGCAGCAGAGCATGATGTAAAGGCTGACTGTGTTACCATGGTGATGCCCTGCAACACACATACACTCAGTATCTGTGTGTGTGCACAGCCACCAGGGGCCTGTACCACAGCGAGTTCAACTTAGCCTGGCTCGGGGTTATCTGGCTTCACTGAGCTTAACACTGGCCGTCCTGGATAGCCGGTACCAGAGTCCAAACAAACTCCAAGCAGTGTCCCCTCCTTTTCTCCCTCCTGCCCTGTCTCTGAAACTACATCATATGTGGTCACAGCAGCTGCAGAGAGTCATAGGAGTCAGGTAGCGCAGCAGTAATAATATTCTGGCCACTATTGCATCATGTTCAGTGTTACATACATGACACACAGCTTTATAAAGTAAACGTGAGTTGTACATGAAACAAGAGAAATTTCATGTTATGCGTCGATAGTTGAACAAACTCACCGTTGTTCTAGTTGTGCTGGACACAATCTGTTTGAACTCACTGTACGCCAAGACAACCAGGCACAAGGACAGTTTCTTCCCCCCGGGCTGTCGCTCTGACCAACGACAGTATGAGTGGACAATAACCCTCAGTGCAATACCTGTGTATATATACCTCGTACAGATTATACAGACTTGTACAGGTCTCTACTTCTTAAGTACTCTATTTTATCCCTATTTATCTCATTTCAATGAACATTCCTTTGTTGTCTGCATTGTTTACTGTCTGTTTATACTGCCTTTTCTGCATTGTTTGCACTGTTTGTCGATGTTAATACTGCTATTTTGTTATATTACACAGCCTTATGCTGGTTTACTGTTTGCACATTGAGAGCCGATGTACCTGAGTCTAATTCCTCATGTGTCCGTCACACCTGGCCAATAAACTGATTCTGATTCTGATTTGATGGTGTCAATTTTAATAACTTCTCACTAAAATGCTATGTGGACAAAATTGAAAAGCTAATGTTAGCTTTCTAATGATACCGACATATACATGTTAGCCAGCTACAGTGCTTATGTGTCTAGCAGGAAAAAGCCACATCTGGTCAGCCGTTAGCTTTTAGTGCTCTCCATCGTCGACATGCCAAACTGACGTTAACCCTGGTTTCACCTCCTTCTCTGTCACCCTCTTTCTGTGCTACAGAACGCAGCCTCTTGGGTCTAACAGGTCTGTGCCCATCTTAGGTTGAACCTGCACAGGGAGCAGTACTGGTTCAAAAACTGGGTCTTATAACCTGGGAGCAGCTGGGGTGCAGCATGGATTTTAACAACAGTGGCCAGAGTGGGGTGGGGGTGGGATCGGGGTTTAGAACGGCAGGGAGACAACACTTTTTTCAGACAAATTTTTACTTGATTCATCCAAATTTTGTGAAATCTGGTTAATGCAGCTTTAAATTCAGTTCTATGAAGAACAGGAAGTCAGTGCAGGAGGAAAGTTGTCCCCTTTGTTTGTCTTGCTGCAGCAGTTTGAATGAGTTGGTGATGTAATAAAAAGACTGAGTGAAACCAAAATATGGAGCTACAGTGATCGGGGGCACCAGGATATCAAGGACGACTGTCTACAGGTCACAGAGAAGTGAGTTGGAGACCATGTGGAACTGAATGAATCTACTTTGTTTTCAAATTTCAATGCTGAATCAAAGATCATGAGAAATCATGTTGGTTAAATGCTGTGGTGTAAATAACACAACTTCAGATTTATTTTCAATGAGCTTGAGAAAGTTTGCCCAACCTTTAGTGTCTAAGCTCTCAGGCAGCTGCATTAGTCAATGTGGTGATTTCCCACCAGGTTAATTGCAATGGTTCATTTAAGTTGACCTCCATAGGCTCTGTTGGACTGTGGAACATTACAACTGTAGAGAAAAATGGAGGAACGCTGTTTGACTCTGAATGTGTGGAGTAGTGTACTTTGCTCTCCGAAATCTCTAGCATCCTTGTGATGGACATTCTGGTCTACCACAACCCTCATCACCACTATATTCTCACTATCAGTGACAGTATCATGATTCTTCACCAAGTTGCAGGAGCTGAGATGAAGGAGTTTGATAGTAAGACAATCAGACAGCTTACACACAAGCCAACAGTTTATCCAGACAATCGAAACCACTTCACTGGGAGGTCACACTGAAAGTCAGCTCACTTGGAGTGTCAGTAATAATCCCTCACATCAGCACACATTAATGTCTGTCTCTCTCTGTCCAGGTCAGCTATGCCATTGGTGAAGCGGATCATTGAACCTAGGTTTCTGTGCCGCGGCACGCTGCCTAATGGGGTCGCCAGTGAGCTGGAGTGTGTCACCAACAGCACCCTGGCCGCCGTCATCAAACAGCTGGGAGGACTCAGTGAGTGCTGATGGTGCTCTGATCTCACCTCAGCTGTAATGTTACTGTTGATAACACAAGGTTATTCTGGTTTGTCTGGCCTTGGTGACACACAGGTCGTCATGCAGAGGACATCTTTGGTGAGCTCTTCACGGAAGCCAACAGTTTCTACCTGAGGATGAGCAGCCTGCAGGAGCGAGTAGACCTGCTGGCAGTAAAGGTCACACAGCTGGACTCCACTGTGGAGGAAGGTGGGTAATGGACACTGCTGTCATCATTAGTCAACAGCACCTACATCTGAACACCCCACACCAGGCCTTTTGGGGGTTTCACTACAGCCAGCACTGCATGGTCCCAGCCTCATCTTTCATCTTACTGCCTTCATAAACCATTCATAAAAATTATTTATGGGGGCAAAAGCACACAAACCATGAGGGAGCAATCCTCCTGGTCCCAGCAGCGCTCGAAGTGGTGATTCTGACCCTAACTGATTTAAAGTCTCCTCACAACACACTGGAGCTCAGAGTCTGAGCCTTCAGGGTCTGTATGAAATCAGTGATGAGGAATAACCCTGCTGCAGCCCACTCACCGCCAAAAACGTGGTTGACATCTTCTAAGGAGAATACAAACACAACACAGCCCTCATTCTGGTTGTACAAGCACTAAGGGCCTCCTAATAAAAGGCCCAGCACCCCATATTCTGACTGTAGCCCCACAAGATACCCTGAGAAACCAGTCATTGCCCTTCTCCAGCATCACAAAACCAATGTAGTATGGTTGAACCTCGTGACAATTCCTTGAAAGAGTAAATGACTGTGTACTGTTCTCTGACAAGAACAGAATCTGCATTGCTGTCCAAACCACCTCTCCAAGGCAGCTGAAAACTGTAATAGCCAAACAGTTAGAGCACAACCACAGGTCCTCTCTGTTAAAAATGTGAAGCATCACCTGCAAATCTGCAGTTACAACCCCAAATCAGAAACAGTTGGGATGGTATGTAAAATTAAAACTGAAAACAGTGATGTGTAAATCATCTGTGTCCTGTGTCACACTGAAAACAATACAGCAGCACATTAGTAGATGTGACACCTCATCAGTTTTATTCATTGTTAACTTCAATTCTGATACTGCAACACATTCCAACAAACGTCGGGCCGGCTGCATTTCAGGACCAGTAATGAGGTAAAACAATGAAATGATTCCATTTGATACAGGCCATGTCAACAGGTGACTGCATCATGATTTGGTACAACAGTGGCATCCAGGAAAGGCCGAGCCCTTTAGGAGCGAAGACGGGCCGAGGACCACCAGTTGGCCAACATATGTGGGAGCAAATTACTGAAATGTGTAAAAACAAAATAGGAAGGGATTTGGATCTGTCACCCTCTACGATGCAGAACATCATTAAAAGATTAAAGGAGTCTGGAGGGATTTCAGTGCATAAAGGTCAAGGACCGAGCCTAAACTGGATGACCAAGCTCTCCGATCCCTCAGACGACACCGCATCAAGAATCATCACTCTTTTATAAGCGGTATAACCACATGGGCTCAGGATGACTCTGGCTCACCTGTGTCAGCCACTACAATATGTAGTTACATCCATAAATGCTGCTTAAAACTGTGCTGTGCCAAAAGGAAGCTCTGTGTCAACAGTGTCCAGAAGTCGACTGCTCCGGACTCAGAGGCGTCTGGGACGGACCATCACACTGTGTGTTCTGGTCTTTATTGGAAGGAATGGACACCATGTGCTTCAGACCAAAGACAAAAAGAACCATCCAGACTGTTAGCAGCAACAAGTCCCAAAGCCAGGGTCTGTCATGGTCTGTGATGGCACCATTAATGATGAACAATACACAGAGATGGTCACGGTCAAAGTGTTTATTGTCATGCGCACAGTAAGTAATAAAAAATATAAGAAGAATATAATAAAAAGCATGATGTTGGAGCAACATCTGCTGCCTTCAAGACGATGTCTTTTCCAGGGACACCCATGCATATTTCATCAAGACAATTCAAATCCTCATACTGCCACATTATCAAGACCTGGCTGTGGAGGAAGAGGGGGCAAGTGCTGGACTGACCTGCCTGTCATTTGGGATTATACTGACCTGAATAAGCCTCCTCTCAGATTTGATTTGATTTATTCATTCAAGCATGTAAAACAGTTGATATGTCAACACGTAATTTCACACATATCCAACAATAATAATCCAATATCAGTTTACTTATACCTAGTACATGCTTGAACGGAGTAGGAAGAAGTTAGACTTATCTAGTCCTACCCCATGACATCATCTTACAACTTTTAAGTCCTAAGCAATATCTCTACATAAATAATTATCCTCTACACCACACAGGTAATATACTACAGAATTATTACAGTGTTAACATTCATGCATAATTACATTCATAGATAATTATCTTCTTCGCCACACAAGTAATATACTAAAGAGTTATTACAGAGTGCTAACATTCTTACCCCACACCCACAATGTTCCATCTGATTAATCATTAAATATGTTCTTGCATATATCTTGATTGACACATACCTTTATATTTATGTTTAAACTCATCAATTCTATTACTATTTTTTATGTCTACACTTAAATTATTCCATAGTTTTACCCCACTTATGGAAATACA